CACACCTCACCCTTCACACCTCACCCTACACACCTCACCCTCCACACCTCACCCTTCACACCTCACCCTCCACACCTCACCCTTCACACCTCACCCTTCACACCTCACCCTCCACACCTCACCCTCCACACTTCACCCTTCACCCTCCACACTTCACCCTTCACACTTCACACCTCAACCTTCACCCTTTACACCTCACCCTCTCTCACACACACACACACACACACACACACACACACACACACACACACACACACACACACAGGGTTTGTGTAGTTGTGTGCTTGCATGGCCACTGCTCGTGCTCCATTGTGTTGCTGTGATTTTGGGCTTTTGACTGTTTGTGTGCAGGAGTGTGTGTGTGTGTGTGTGTGTGTGTGTGTGTGTGTGGAGGGGGTTTAACCCCGTCACGACCATACCTCCCTCCTCTACTTCATCACACCCTCCAGGACAAGTCAAAGAGTGTGTGTGTGTTTGTGTGTCTTTGTGTGTGTGTGTGTGTTCAGACATCTTGATCGCCCCAGTGTCTGACTGTGCCTCTCTCTCCTGTGTGCCCCCCTTCGTGTGGAGCAGGTGGGAACAGTGACAGTGTGTTTGACGTAGAGAAAGCCGTGGGCACCATCATCATCGCCAAACCTCTGGACGCCGAGCAGCGCTCCTTCTACAACCTGACGGTGCAGGCCAGCGACGGCAGCAGCAGCACACACACACAGGTACGGTGTGTTTCCACGCTGAGTGTTCGACAGGCTTATAATGCTTGGCTACAGGAAGTACATGTCAACAAAAACACTTATATTAATAATTACAGCTGCACAATTGTTCTAAATATAATAATATAATAATCTGAATATGGTCAAGTGTAAAATCCAAATCTCCGCAGCTGCAGTTTTATTTCTGATGAAGATAAAATTGTCACATTGTTGAACATTGTTAGCATTAGTATTGTTAGCATTAGCATTGTTAGCATTAGCATTGTTAACATCATCAGTGTTGTGGAGCTACAGCGACGCCCCGACCTACAGATCAGATTCTCCAGATGTAAAGGAACAAAAATCACATCAACATCATTTTTAGATTTTATTTTTCAGTGAAAATGAAAAACTACTCAATATGATTTTTTGATTATTGTGCAGCTGATTAATAATATTATTATGTTCACCTGATCAATCAATCCTCAAGTCAGCTGCTGATGTCACTGTGAACTGGATCCTTTTCAATGGTTTCTGTGTTTTTGTTTTTTTATTTCATTCACATGCTCCCTGTTCACACACACACACACACACACACACACACACACACACACACACACACACACACACACACACACACACACACACACACACACACACACACCACACACTCCTGCCCAGACACACACACACACATCACACACACACACACACACACAACTCCTGCAGACCCAACACACACCAACACACACACACACACACACACACACACACACACACACACACACTCCTGCACACACACACACACACACCTGTGAGTTCCTCCCAGATGGAGAGTCAGCGTGGCGTCACTCCGTCTCCACCGTTGAACTGCAGCAGGTTTATATTTAGCCTGTGAGCTGGCAGCTCTGTCTCCGTCTCCCCTCGCTGCTCTCTGTGTTTGCTCTGGATAAGAATCAGAACAAATCTCAGGCTCCTTATTCTGGATGTGTGGATGGTGCATGTTGCCCCCCCCCTTGCTGCTGCTGTTATTCTGTGCTTTGTAATCTCTGCAGAGTTCACTTGGTGTATCTTGGTAGCTCAGTGGTTCGTACTGTCACCTCACAGCCTGGAGCTGCTGAAGCCTCCATCTTTTATTTTCCTCCTCTTCTTCTTTTCTGATCAAAATGTCTTTTTGTTTTTATACTTTATTGTTAATGTCAATGAAACATTACAAATCTCTTGTGATTTAAACATTTGACACAAATTCTGTGACCTCCATACCATGTAGATATATATATCTATACTCTCAAGTACCCATACACACACACACACACACACACACACACACAATGAAATAAATAAATACATGTATTTAATAAATAAGAGGTTTTCATATTAGCTTTAATATCGACCTGCTACAGTTTCATGTGTGCTGCTGAACGATCGTCTGATGTTTCACTGACATTTCTATCAAGTATGTATGAGAATAATTAGTAACAAACTTTTTCCAGCTTCTTTTCCTCATTATTGATTTTGTAAGTTGCATTATATCATATCTGATATTTAAGTCATGATTTCCTCTGGTTTCCTCCGTCTGTAAAGAGGAGGCCGTCCTCTGTGTCGTCATCTGTCAGTCTGCGGGGGCTCAGGCTCTCAGGGATGTACTGCAGACCATATGTGCCTGACGTACATGTGAAACACCCCCCCCCCCTACAGACACACCCGGTGCAGTGAACACAGACCTGCGTGTGTGTCCTCTCCTGTTCTGGGTTACATCAGTTTACGTCACAGAATCAGGTCATGTTGTTTTCAGCTGCGTCGTTCTTCGGCCGTCAGCAACAAAAACATTTCCATTAACCTCGCTCTGCCTCTCTCTCTCTCTCTCTCTCTCTCATTGAGTGTCTGCCTCGTTCGTCCTGCAGCATGTGACTGTTCACTTCACAGCTGACAGGAGGACAAGAGGAGGATCTGAGCCCACAGGCCCAGACTCTGACCTCTGACCTCAGAGCTGTCACAAGACAGTCCATCTGCTCCAGATCCTGATGGACACTCATATTAATTATAGATAAACAATCTGTCCGTCTGTGGACGCAGTGTTTTAAGTTTTATTTTAAATTATATTCATTGGACTCATGAAATATACTTTAGAACTTATGAATTAGCTTGAGTAAACTGTCCATCAGGACCCTGATAGTGATGTCACGATCACTGATACTGATCATGTTCGTCATCAGTCGTTCAGTCTCTCGCTCTGTAACAGTTTCACACGGCGACGTGTTGTTTTGGACCGGACACTCACCTGTGCAGGTGCTGATGAGCTGCTGCAGCCAGTCAGCAGGTCAGAGAGCGGAGAGCAGCAGTCTTCTGACGGCGCTCACGTTTAATCACTTCCTACCTGTCTGTCTGTCTTTACCTGTCTCTCTCTCTCTCTCTCCCTCCCTCCCTCCCTCTCCTCTCCTCTTGTGTTGTCCTGACTCAGCTGGGCTTCATCACCAGTCATCTGTGACTCAGGAACTTCCCATGAGTCAGGACACGCAGCGACCACTGACACCAGCAGAGAGCTCAGTGACACACACTCTGTTACATAAGTGTGTCCACACTGAGGACGGAGAGACAGGGAGAAGGAGAGAGAGAGAGAGAGAGGAGGTGACACTGATCCTCAGTCAGTGAACACACTGATAATAAACTGATTCTGATCTGATACTGTGGGGAAACATTACTGATGTACAACTGACCATCATGTTGCTATGGAGATGAAACACCTGTGATACAACCAGGAACTGGTCAGAGTGGGCTGTAATAAGAGGAGTGACAGACTCTCAGTGGAGCTCAGAAACAGTCCAACACGTCTGTGGTTCAGATCGTGCATCTGCACAAACTCACTGATCGACCATATCACTGACCATAAATATGTCGGATTTATTACGTCAACATCCAAACATTATTTCCTGAGACACATAGTTGTAGAAAAATCTAAGTGTAAAAGAAAGTGATATAAAAAAAAATCCGATCTGAATTTTTTAAGTTCCCTCCCAAGCATCAACCTCCAGACTGAAACATGAAGCATCAGCAGTGAAGAACCAGAAGCTGCAGTTCCTCTAACGACCACTAGAGTCTGGCTCCAACAGTGAGTCAGTCCCCATAGACTCCCATGTTAAAATGTCCAACTTTACAGCAGAAATAAACATGTTTACAGCCTGGTACAGAAACTGTTTTGGTCTCTAGAGATAATTTCCTCCTTCATGACACCTGTTTATATAACTCACCTGTTTACATTTTATTAAGGACTACAGTTATGAAGGATTGAGGGCGTGGCCTCTTTGAGTGACAGGTGGGTGAGCGTATGCACCACAGTCTCAGCTCCACACAGGCCCCTCCTCTTTGACCGTATTTGGATTAGCTAGGAGTTGGGGGCGGAGTCAGGCACTGCCAAGAGGGCAACGGTTGGGCAGCTCACTCTGAACAAATTACATTCAGCTAATGTGTGTCATCAGTATATTGTGTTGGTAATGTAATGATGGTCGTGTTTTCAACTTTTATTTTCAACAAACTTGTGAAAAGTGTAAAAATGTCAGACTGACCTGGATGACAGGACTCGGCTCATCTCCTCTTTGTCTCTGTGGATACTCCACCTGTTCCAGGTTCACATCACTGTGATGGACAACAATGACAACGCTCCCATCTTCTCCCAGCCTACCTATGACGTCACCATATCTGAGGACACGCCCCCTGACACAGAGGTGGTCCAGGTTCTGGCGTCGGACCGTGACGAGCACCACCGGCTCACCTACTCCCTGCAGAGCTCCATAGACCCCAACAGCATGCGTCTGTTCCGCATCCACCCGACCCTGGGCACCATCTACACTTCTCACAGGCTGGACCACGAGGCCTGCGCCCAGCACATCCTCACCGTCATCGTAAGACCGCCGCTTCAGTCCGCCATCAGCTGCTGCATGTCTGATACATAAGTCATGTCTCTGCCAGTCACGTATATTTAGCATCGTGTGCTAACAGCTGTGACTCTGTGTAGGGTCCAGTCTGGTCTGCATTGTTGTGCTAATAGAATTAGAGTCTTAGTTGAGGTCATTCATCCTGCTGTACCAGGTGCAGGCCTGAACTCATGGAGGTGTTAGAGGACCTTGATACTTCTTCTTCTGTGGGTCAATGATCAATGTGATCAAACATCAGAACGGTGATTTGTCTCAGTTCATCATGTTGTTCACAACCTGCCACATCACCTTCTCTCTGCCGCCAGGTGCTTTATTCCACAAGATATTGATTTTCTAAAAGAAAAAATCAAGCAGTCCATTAATGTTGATTGAAAGTCTCTCCTTCAGCCGGTGAAGTGTGGAGAAATGGTTCTGATTAAAGCGCTGTTATAAAATCAAGGCTCTTCAATAAGACAGGACACAGGTCAGATATCTGTGCTGTTAAACTCTTATTGGTGACTGACCTTCAACAACAGACGTTTATCAGGAGGAAATCATTTCCCAGTGTCGAGCTCCTGTGTGTCGTATATGGAGCGGCAGGAGAGCCAGAGGCAGTCTCCAAGTCTGTGCTCTCATTCAGCCTGAACTCATCATTTAGCAGTTAAGGTAATTACACCGTGCAGCGAAGCAGTGTCTACACCTCATGACAGGAAAGACGACAGGTTCCCACTGATTTCTGTATCCACCAGGAAACTGCTATTATAAATGTGAAACCTGGGGAACGTGAATGTTTATTTTTGTGTCTGTTAAAGTTTGTAAAATGATTTCACTCGGCAGATTTCAGATGTTCCAGTCTCAGTTCACAGCTTTCTCATTGTCGTTGTTGTTTTTCTCCACAGGTGAAGGACCAAGAGTTCCCGTACAGGAAGAACCTGGCTCGTGTGCTGATAGAGGTGGAAGATATAAATGACCATGTGCCCATCTTCACCAGTGCTCTGTATGAGGGCCAGGTGTATGAGTCAGCGGCAGTGGGCTCAGCTGTGGTCCAGGTCACCGCCCTGGACAAAGACAAAGGAGAGAACGCAGAGCTGCACTACTCCATTGAAGCAGGTTAAACCTCTGAGAATTAAATACCAGGGACCAGTTGCACAAAACACCTTAAGTTTTCTACTGAAGTCGACATTTAAGGTTGAATTTCTCCTTAGCTGAGGGAGTTACTTCAGGGTGTTGCACAGAATGTCTTGAAAGGTTTCCTCTGTCAAGATAAAACGTTAAGGCATTTGCAGCAGTGAGAGATTTTACAGCGGTAAAATTCTAGTTTTCTACAGTTTCCATGGAGACCGTTTGTTTGCTGGCATTAGCACTTGTGATACCTGTGAACATTTCACCTGTATCGTCTCACAAAGTTGGCCAGAAGAAAAAAAATGTCTTAAAAAAATGACATTTGCCGCTCTTTCTCCTCCTGTTGTCATGGAAACTTCAGCCCAGTGTTCAGCAGACAGTCAGAGCGTCTGACACTCACACAGCTGATCGATCAACATGAAATACTTCACCAGTAACTGACTGTAAAGATCCCGAAGCATCAAACCACAGAGCACCATGAACTGCAGAGGAGCTGAAGAGACAGCTGATCTGTGATCAGATCACAAACTGATGCTGATCAGATCTATAGAGATAAATCAATAAATCAGTTCCTCTGGTGGAGGCTCCATCAGGGTCAAACTCTTGTTGGGACGTTCATCCTCTTCACTGATCAACATCAACTCAGACATGTTGAGGTTCAGATAAAGTCAGAGGAACCTTTAGGTTTAACTCCGAAGGTCTTAACTTACTTTAAGTGATTCCTGAAGTATAAAGCCAAGATAAGGAGAAAAGTTTAAATACTTAAGTGAAACCTTAAGGAGAAGTCTTAAGGGGGTTTTGTGCAACAGTTTTTATTTTAAGGAAATCTTAGGTTGGACTTTAAGGAAAATCTAAAGGATGAACAATTTCTTTATTTTTGATTTTCCAACAGGGAACACTGGGAATGCTTTCCACATTGAGCCAGTGTTGGGGATCATCACTGTTGCACGGGACTTGGACTTGTCCAGCATTGGCCATTATGTTCTCACAGTCAGAGTCACTGATAACGGCTCCCCCCCCCTGTCCACCACCACTATAGTGCGTATTGCCGTCACCCTCTCTGACAACGCTGGCCCGAAGTTCCCTCAGCCGGAGTACCAAGCTGAGATCACAGAGAATGCGGTGGTTGGGACGTCCGTCACCACAGTCAGTGCGGTCAGTCAGTCAACCCTGACCTACAACATCAAGCAGGGCAACACTGACCACGTCTTCCAGATCAATCAGTACAGTGGAGTCATTACTACCCAGAAGCCTCTGGACTTTGAGGCTACAGCGTCTTACACCCTGATCGTCCAGGCTACCAACATGGCTGGCATGGCCTCCAACGCTACTCTGTTGATCCAGGTGGTGGATGAGAACGACAACCCTCCAGTGTTCCAGCTGCTGCACTATCGTGGTAGCATCAGTGAGGCAGCACCAGTCAACAGTGTGGTCTTGAACTCGGACGACTCACCTCTAGTGATCAAGGCCACCGATGCCGACCGCAACCAGAACGCTCTGCTGGTCTACCAGATCGTTGAGGACACTGCAAAGATGTTCTTCACGGTGGACTCAGGAACTGGCTCCATCAGAACCATAGCTAATCTGGACCACGAGACATTTGCCACGTTCCACTTCCATGTTCATGTGAGGGACAACGGGATGCCACAGCTGACGGCAGACAGTCCAACTGAGGTCACTATACAAGTGATTGACACAAATGACTCACCACCTCGTTTCACCCAGAATGCCTATGAAACTGTCCTGCTGCTGCCCACCTATGTGGGAGTGGAAGCTCTGCAGGTTTCAGCCATCGACCCTGACAAAGATGTTCCCACAGAGCTCACCTACTCTCTGACTGATGGAGTGCTGGAGCACTTTGCCATCAAACCCTCCAGTGGAGTCATCATTGTCAAAAACAACAACTTCTCCAAAGAACGTTTCCGCTTCAGTGTCAAAGTTTCTGACGGGAAGTTCTCCAGCATGGCTCTAGTGACCATTCTGGTCCGAGAAGCTCTGGACTCTGGTCTCAGCTTCACCCACAGCATCTACTCTTCATCTATTCAAGAGAACATATCAAATGTTACCAAAGTGGCTGTGGTCAACGCTGTGGGAAACCGTCTCAATGAACCGTTGAAGTACACCTTGTTGAACGCTGGTACCCGCTTCAGGATGCGTCCTACGTCTGGCGTGATCCAGACCACAGGAATACCCTTTGACCGTGAGGAGCAAGAGTTCTACGAGTTGGTTGTCGAGGCAAGGCGGGAGCACGACCGTCTGCACGTGGCCAGAGTCATGGTTAGAGTCCAAGTCGAGGACATAAATGATAATGCCCCTGTGTTCGTTGGGCTTCCTTATTACGCAGCTGTTCAGGTTGAAGCTGAGCCGGGATCACCGATTTTCAGGGTCATGGCGGTCGACGGTGACAAAGGGATTAATGGAGAGGTGTCGTACTATCTCAAGGATGACCATGGTCACTTTGAGATCAACCGGCAGACAGGTGGACTCAGCCTGAAGAGGGCTTTTGAGTCCGACCTGTCCAATGTTGAGTACCAGATGGTGATATACGCCAGAGACGGTGGTTATCCACCTCTGTCGTCTACCATTGAGTTCCCCATCACTGTGGTCAACAAAGCCATGCCCGTCTTCGACAAATCATTTTACTCTGTGTCTGTGAATGAGGACATGGCTGTGCACACGCCTATCCTTGGCATCAATGCCACGAGTCCTGAAGGCCAAAACATCATCTACACCATCGTTGATGGAGACCCGTCTCTTCAGTTTGACATCGGTTTTGACACTGGAGTCATCAGTGTCATCCACTCGTTGGACTATGAAGCAGCATCATCTTACCACCTGACCATCAGAGCTACAGACTATCTGACTGGAGCGCGTGCCGAGGTTGACGTTGACGTGGTCATCCAGGACGTCAACGATAACCCGCCGATCTTCCAGAAAATGTCCTACAGGGTAGTTCTGTCTGAAACAGCCATGATTGGAACTCCAGCTCTTCAAGTTATCGCCACTGACAAAGACTCAGAGAAGAACAATGTTGTCCGCTACCAGATCTTCTCTGACACACATAACAGTACAGACTACTTCCACATTGATAGCAGCAGTGGATTAATCCTGACGGCACGAATGCTGGACCATGAACTCGTCCAGAAGTATGACTTCATCGTCAGGGCCACTGATAATGGCTTCCCACCCCTGAGCAGTGAAGTGTCAGTCGTAGTTATGGTGAATGACATGAACGACAATCCTCCAGTGTTCAACCAGCTGCTGTATGAGGCGTATGTGAACGAGTTGGCACCCCGAGGTCACTTTGTGACCTGCGTCCAGGCCTCAGACGCTGACAGCTCGGACTTTGACAAGTTGGAGTACAGTGTTCTGTCAGGAAATGAACGGATGAACTTTGTCATCGACAAGAAGACAGGAATCATCACACTATCCAGCCACCGGAAGCAAAGGATGGAGCCGGCCTACAGCCTCAATGTGTCAGTGTCTGATGGGGTGTTCACCAGCACGGCACAGGTTCATGTGAAGGTGCTGGGAGCCAACCTGTACAGCCCAGTGTTCGGGCAGAGTACGTACGAGGCGGAGTTAAGAGAGAACGTGGCTGTGGGAACCAAAGTCATACAGGTAAGTGCTGCTGCAATCCACGCCGATTATATCGTACTGTGATCACAAAACACTCATGTCTCGTTTTTCTAATTCCAGGTGAAGGCAACAGACGCAGACCCTGGACTGTACGGTCACATCACGTACTCCTTTGTTAATGATGTGGGGAAGGACCAGTTCAGCATTGATTCAAGTGGTCAGATCACCACTGTGGAAAAGCTCGACCGCGAGGACCCAGCCAATAAGGACATTGTTCTGACGGTGGCAGCCCAGGACTCAGGCGGACGTGGCTCTTACTGCACAGTACAAGTGACTCTGTTGGATGATAATGATAACGTACCTCGCTTCCACGCCACTGAGTACAGAGCCTCAGTCAAGTCTGATGTGGCTAAAGGCTTTTTGGTGACACAGATTCAGGCTTATGATCCTGATGATGGCGCCAATGCCAAAGTGACGTACTCACTTTACAGCGAGGCACACGTCCCAGTGGTGGACATTTTGGAGATAGACCCGGACAATGGTTGGATGGTGACTAAAGGAAGCTTCAGCCACTTGAGGAACTCGGTGTTATCTTTCTTTGTGAAGGCTGTGGACGGAGGAAATCCAGTGCGACACTCTCTGGTGTCTGTCTACATCCACGTTCTTTCTCCAGAGGCCTTCATTCCCTCCTTCAGCCAACACCAGTATTTATTCAGCATGCCAGAAGACACGCCCATCGGTTCAGCCATAGGCACGGTGCGCCTCAACACCCCTCCTGGATATACCTCACTCTCTGCTGCCTTTGCCCTGGTTAACGGAGAGACCGGAGAAAACAACCAGGACCGGGTGTTTGTGGTGGATAAGGACACAGGTGTGATCAAGCTTGATAAACCTTTAGACCATGAGGTGATCAAATCTTACCACTTCAAAGTCACCACCACTGTTCAACAGGCTAAATTGGACTCTGTGACTTCTGTTGATGTCGAGGTCAAAGTGTTGGATCTGAATGACAACAAACCAGCCTTTGAGGCCAACTCCTACGAGGCCACAGTTATGGAGGGAATGTCCATCGGAACCACAATAATTCAAGTCCAGGCTCTAGACCCGGACTCCGGGGCCAATGGGCAGGTAACATACAGTCTGGGGGCATTGATCCAGTCGGAGGGGGATTCAGACACACTGACTGGCACCTTTAGCATCGACAGCAACACAGGCTGGATCTCCACACGCAAGGACCTGGACCACGAGACCAATCCCTCCTACACATTCACAGTGGTGGCCTCAGACCTCGGGGAAACCCTGTCTCTTTCCAGCACCACCACCGTGACTGTGGCGGTGTCGGACATCAACGACAACCCGCCCAGGTTCCTGGAGCCGCACTACTTCGGTTCAGTTCAGGAGAGCGACCCGCCGGGCGAGGTGGTGGCCGTGCTGAACACCAGAGACGATGACAGCTCCACCGTGAACCGACAAGTCAGCTACCACATCACCGGTGAGTCCCTCTGTAGATCTGTCAATGCTCTGCAGCTGTGTCACCACAGATCTTGAGATTGGACGATTCTGGATTATATCTAATAACAAAGGGTTTTTGTTTTTAACGTCCAATCCCAGGATCTTAAATCTGGTGTAAAGCGCAACGCAGGTGTCTTTGCTAGTTTCAGACTGACAGCGTTGTCATTTTCCTGTCCAGCTGAGCTGAGCTTTAAAATGAGGTGTGGAAAGTCAGATCATCCTTTGTGTGTGTCTCACAGCGTTGGATGCAGAGAAGCTTCTTTCTTACCACCTGGTAAATTCACTGGACTTACTGGTCAGGACTGGACATGTGATGGTTTCAGTTTCAGCCCCTTCGTTTGGGCTAAACTAGGGGTGGGCGATATGGCAAAAATATCATATCACGATTTTTTAAAAATAAAATCACGATTTCGATTTTATCACAATCTTAAATTGGAAAAAGAAAAACAGACAATTTAGACCAAAGAACCTTTCTTAACAGATTTTATTTCAAATAGTCGCAGTTTTGCCTGCATGTGCAAACAACGTAAAGTTTAAGGTAAACAACAACAACATCCTAATAAAGTGCACTCTTGCAAAAGTAACAGAAAGTAAAATATCAATCAAAGACATTACTGACAGTCATTTAAACAGGATTTATTTATCAAAACACTAAATAGCTTATTGAAACGCAAAAATACAAACTAAAGTGACTGTGGTTATCTCTTTTAGTGCAGCAGTTGCTAGTGCTTTAGTGCTTCCTCTTCAGGTGATTAAACAGGTTCGTCGTGTTACCACCCGACGTGCGAACGGTTTCTGTGCAAACTTTGCAAAATTACATTTGATTGCGCTTGATCAGTTGCGGAAAATCCAAACCAATTCCATATAATGGAGGTGGAAGTTTTCTTAGCGACCGACTCCGTTTGGCTTTCAGCCATCGCTCTCCATGTGCTACCGCTACACACACAAACAAGGAGGCGGGTAGGAAAGAGCGTCACTGCCCGTAATTCGCTATGACTGGTCGGTCAGGTTGACGACGTCAATACGTCTGGTGCGTCGGTGCATCAGCATAGAACTGCAATTTATAGAATGTGCCCGAGACGATCCCACGATCTCTGCAGTTTGAAAGATCATCTTCACGTTGTAATCCTTCATGATCTAATATCGTCATATCACCCACCCCTAGGCTAAACCCTGAATATTTACAATGTGTGGCTCCGCCCCTGTTTGCACCATGAGCTGTAGACTGTAGAAATAGAGCCGCAGTGTTTTTAACCTTCTTGTTTTCCACGGCGTCTGTACATGGCAGTGACGCTTTAGTTGAAGTCAGGGATTGTAAACTGTGGTTCGGGGGGAGCAGCTTGTCTGAGGTTGTGGAGAGATCCCAGTTACAGTTAATAAAAGGGTGGATGGTTATTTCAGGTCTGGACAGGATGTAAACTCTGCTGTACTCCGAGACACTGAACACACACCAGTCGTCTCTGCTTTACGTAGAGGACACACAGTTTCCTGCTCTGACGCTGACTTTTGTTGTTGTGTTGTGTATTGTGCTCCATCTGTGCACAGTCATTAACAAGGCTGTAAACCAGTGTGTGTGTGTGTGTGTGTGTGTGTTGGCTCAGCAGTTTACTCCAGATACAGTCGTCAGACTCGTTAGTATTCTGCTGCTCCTCACCGTCGCTGCAGCCATGAATAAACATGAGAGGGAAAGTTGTACACTAAATTAAAGGCGTGATCCAGTATATAATTCACTCATTCTCTACGGTTGCTTCCAAAGAAACGTGCGCTCGCATCCCAGCTTTCCAAGTCCGACTGAGAAACAGGCAGTTAAATGTGATAACATTTCATGGCAGAGTAGCGTTCAACAGCCCGTGACATTCACCCAGTTCCAGTTCTCCAGAGGCCGAAGAAGAAGTAAACAGAGTCAGACAATTAAACCACTGCAGCTCTTCTGATGAAAGCTCCTGCCAACACCTTGCATTTCAACTTCTTGAAGAGATGTTAAGATTCACAAGGTGGTCCAGGGTTTCCCTCTGGGATGTTCGCCAGCAGCGGTGCTGTTGAGTAACGTACTCAGGGTTATATTCATGTTTATGTTCATTTACCAGGAGCTTCAGGCTGTGGAGGCACATATAACTGTATATATAGCTGTATATAACTGTAAGAACAAGTGACGATGAACAACTTCAGTCAACACAGAAAATTGATTGAATTACGTTACATAGCAGCTAGAAAACCTACTGTTAGCCGTAGCGTTAGCCTCTCTTGGGGAGATGTTTGCTAGCGCTAACCCCCTTTAAAACAAAGACTGAAGGCTCCAAAACATCTGTCTGAACATCAGGAAACAAAAGGAGAAGCAGGTGAATGCTGAAGCTGCAGTCATCACTTTACAGTGATCAAAGAACCGACTTTGCTGATCTGCTGTTGGCTCATTGATGAGCCAGAAGGTAATAATGAAGTTGGACTCCACAGGAGACGGAGACAGAACTAATGAAGGACTTTTAATGGGAAGGAAATCCTTCCCCTAATGGTGCAGTAATGACAATAAGGCTGACAGTTGGAGGAACTGGCAGACATGTGAGTGATGTGACCTTACAGTTGGCAGCTGGGGGGGGGGGCAGAGCAGCAGAGAAAGAATGAAACATTTGGAAAACACTATAAACAAACGAGCTGTCGAGAACAGAGACGAGACCTTTGTCAGTTCGACAGGGAAACTTCACGTCGGCTCGGCTACAGACACAGCTTTATCCTGGGGAGAGACGCTGGTGCAACATGGAGGAATATTTTACAATCAGCTGGTTTATTACTGGATTATTACTGGAATATTAGGGACTCAGTTTCTTTGATGATTAAATCAGGATTTCTGCATTTGAAGAGTTAATGATTTGATTGTGACGTGATCCATCAACTGTTTACCAGAGAACATAAATAACGAATAATGAAGTGTATGTGTAATGTAATGTAATGAAGTGTGTAATATAACATTATAACACACTGTGCCACACCACAGCTGGTTAGATAAATACTAACTGTATCAAATAATAATCATAATAATAATAAACTTTATTTGTACAGCAACTTTTATACAAGAAATAACAGCACCAAGAGCTTCACATGAAGAGACATAAAATGAACATAAAACATAAATGTAAAATGAGATGGAATAATAATAAAATAATTGAAATTTAAAAATGAAATCAAATAAATGATTACACGTAAAGCATAAAATCAATAAGATGTCGTACTCATAACAGCATTCAGAGTTAAAGACGGAGTCGAAGAGTTTACAACACGAAACAGAGAGTCAGAGGTCTCTGTGTTCACAGCTCTGATGCTGCTCTGCTTCACTCAGACAGACCAGGTGGGCCGACAGGTGAAGTCAGGTGAAGTCAGGTGGACCGACAGGTGACTGCCTCTGGCCTGGATCACATCTGACTGACAGAACATCACACACACTTTATTTAAGTGTGTGTGTTTGTTTAGTGTCGCAAAGATCAAAGATATAACTGACACTGATGCAGACCATTGGCAGCAGGGACAGTGTGTTTTTGAGTCTATTGGTTCTGGATCTAGACTCAGTGCTGCTCCACTCCAAGCTTCCTGTTTCCTGTCAGATTCTCCTCTGTGTTCACCTGTTACCAGGTAACACTGAGGATTTCTTACTTCTCTGTTCTGGATTCAGGTTTTCTGCCTCTTCTTGAAAAGATCAATTTTCATTTGATCGGATTATTGATGGAAAAGTCTGTATGTTATTCTGTCATATCCATCGTTAATCACAGCTGGACTGAGTCCGGAGCAGAACCCCTCTGTCTGTCACTTTAGCTGATGGCTAAGTTGCTAAGTTGCTAACAGAGACAGAGATGCTCCCTGAACAAACACTGCACTGATGTGTGTGTATAAACAGTATAAACAGACTGAACAGACTCCTCCTGTGTGATGGATGGAGTGAGAGTCATGAAACAGACGTCCAGAGAGTCTGTCTGTTCAGCAGCCTGTACTCTGTTTGTCCCACACTGCCACCTGTAGGCTGAAACATGAAGCAGTGATTCACAGGGAGCATGTCTCTACACACACAAAACCTCTGTGATCAGCAGAAATCCTGTCAGAGCAAATATCATATTTCTCTCCATCAGTGACTCTGACTTCCCTCCATAAAAACTGAACACAAACTATTGACTTTAATAAACACATGACCAGGTTCTGTCTCTTTTACCTGCAGTAGACGTCAAGGATCAAGTCATTATCATCACTGTTATTATTAAATTGTTTTTATTGGCTTTCAAACGACCGGCCTACACAGCAAGAGTGAAAAATAAAGGAGTGTTCATGTGTGGTGCATCAGCTGATCCCTGAGTGTCTCAGGTGCAGGTGTTCTTCCTCCTGACCTCAGAGGTGTTGCAGCTCAGGTAAAAGGAAGGTGGAGCTGTTGAGGGCAGTGAAGCCTCCTTCAGGGTCAGGTCTGAGGTGGAGGTCTGACTGACTGTTGGTTAGCCAGTTAGCTCCAGAGCTAACTCTGACTCTGGAGTCATATAAAACCCCTCCTCACTAACTAACTGACTAACTAACTAACTAACTATGACTACAGAGAAAATACAGAATTCACATTAAAGTAATTTATTTTTTATTTTTTATCATGAGATAAATTTCAGCTGCTGCAGCTCTCACATTAAAACTCTTGATTTTCACACAGATTTAAACTTAATAAATAATTATTAGTTTTTAGCTTCTGTGTTATTTATATGATCACAGTTATATCATAGTGTTTTTCAGTTTCTGGGTCTTCTCCTGTGAATTCAGCTCCTTTCTCCTGCTGCACCCCCCCTCAGGGATCAGCTGCTGTCATCTAATATTAAACACTCAGTTTTTGATCTGTTCAAACTCACTTCTGTATGTGCTCAAGCTAATGGTGAAAACCCCAGAGAATCCTTTGTGGGACAGGTAGTCTCAACTGAACTGAACTGGACCTGAGGGTCTGGTTCTGGTTCTTCTGTACTGAAACTGTTTCTGGTTTGACCTCATTTTGAGTCTTTCAAAGAATCTCTTCCTTCCCTTTAAATAACTGAATAATGCAGGTTCTATCTGAACTGGACGTATTTTACAGAGTTACTGTTTTATTTGTTAAAATGATGTATTTCTGTCGTGACTTGTTCTTAATCATCATGCAGATTGTTGCTTGATTTTCAGTGGACTGTCAGTCAGTGTTCTGGAGTAATTGTGATGTATTTTCTAAGTGTTTGTATTCACATTACAGTGATGTATTGTCAGGCTGTGTAAACACTGGAGGCAGTTTCTTCCTCCACCCGTCAGCCTGTCTGCAGATGGATGAGTGGAGGACTGTACAGTCCAGTTAAATGGGTCAGCAGCCTCCCAGCTCTCTCATCAATCCTCTGTATTATGGTCCGACATGTTTCCACTGCTGCTGCGTTCACTGACCCACCATGTCAAATAAAGAGCCCACTAATATTATTATTAATAATTCACTTTGATCAACCAGTTGCTCTGCTGCTCATTAACGTGTGTGTGTGTGTGTGTGTGTGTGTGTGTGTGTGTGTGTGTGTGTGTGTGTGTGTGTCCAGGGGGGAACTACCGGGGGGTGTTTGCTCTGGGCTTGGTTCAGGGGGAATGGAAGATGTATGTGAAGGGGCTGCTGGACCGAGAGGAACGCAACCTCTACATCATCAACGTCACCGCCAGTGATGGACTCTTCGTTTCCCAGGCAACGGTGGAAATCACAGTGATAGACACCAATGACAACAGCCCCACCTGTGACCAGGTGAGGAGGGAAACCAGGTGTTGTTCTTATTAAAGGGAAACTGCAACAACAGTGACGTTAACAAAGGGTGTGTGTGTGTGTGTGTGTGTGTGTGTGTGTGTGTGTGTGTGTGTGTGTGTGTGTGTGTGCAGGCGGTGTACACTGCCTCCATCCCAGAGGACCTCCCAGTCAACAGTGTGCTGCTGAGGGTTGGAGCTACAGATGCAGATGTGGGCGTCAGCGCGTGGATCCAGTTCTCCTTACACGGTTCTGGATCGCAGGACTTCAGCATGGACCCGGATACTGGTACTGATCCGTCCACTGTGGAGTCACATGACCTCCAGCTGATCACACAGACCTCCTCTCTCACTCCATCTCTCATGTCTCTTTCCTGTCCAGGTGAGGTGAAGTCATCTGTGATTCTGGACCATGAAGTGACGCCCAGCTACCGTCTAGTTGCCCAGGCAACTGATGGCGGCGGGAGGTGGTGCCACGCTGAGGTTCGACTCACCGTGACCGACGTGAATGACAACCCCCCCATCTTCACCCTGTCCCAGTACACCGCCAGCGTCTACGAGGACACGGCCACCAAGGCCCTGCTGACCCGCATCCAGGCCATCGACCCCGATGAAGGTGACACTGCTGCTAGTACTACTAGTGTTACTACAAGTATTACTACAAGTACTACTAGTGTTACTACAACTATTACTAGTGTTACTACTAGTGTTACTACAAGTATTACTAGTGTTACTACTAGTGTTACTACAACTATTACTACAAGTATTACTACAAGTACTACTAGTGTTACTACAACTATTACTAGTGTTACTACTAGTGTTACTACAAGTATTACTAGTGTTACTACAAGTATTACTACAAGTATTACTACAAGTATTACTAGTGTTACTACTAGTGTTACTACAACTATTACTACAAGTATTACTAGTGTTACTACTAGTGTTACTACAACTATTACTACAAGTACTACTAGTGTTACTACTAGTGTTACTACAAGTATTACTACAAGTACTACTAGTGTTACTACAAGTATTACTACAAGTACTACTAGTGTTACTACAAGTATTACTACAAGTATTACCAGTGTTACTACAAGTATTACTAGTGTTACTACTAGTGTTACTACAAGTATTACTACAAGTATTACTAGTGTTACTACTAGTATTACTACAAGTATTACTAGTGTCACTACAAGTATTACTAGTATTACTACTAGTGTTACTACAAGTATTACTAGTATTACTGGTATTACTGCAAGTAAGTCAGTCGTGTCCCTGACTCTCCTCTGGTTCTGGTTCTGGTTCTGCAGCAGGTCCGGGTCGGGTGGTGGTCTACTCCCTTGTGGACTCTGCGGGAGGTTCCTTCTCCATCGATAAGTCTTCGGGCATCGTGGCGCTGGAGCGCGTCCTGGACCGCGAGGTCCAGCCGGCGTATCAGATAACGGTGCGAGCGTCTGACCAGGGCTTGCCGCTGCCTCTCTCCTCGCTGGTCAACGTCACCATCACCGTGCTGGACATCAACGACAACCCGCCCGTGTTCGAGCGCCGCGATCAGCTGGCGACCGTGCCGGAGGACGTGGGGGTGGGCACTGAGGTTCTGAGGGTTTACGCCGCCAGCAAGGACATCGGCACCAACGCCGAGATCACCTACAGCATCCGGTCAGGAAACGAGCACGGGAAGTTCCACATCCACCCGCTGACCGGTAAGAACCACACCTCTGCACCAACCAGCTCATCTTCATCATCTTCTACATCATCTTCATCACAATAATGTACATGATGACATGGTCCTCTCCACCCGCCCCCCCTGCCCCACACCTTCCTCAGGTGCCATTCTAGTTGCCCAGGTTCTGGACTACGAGACCTGCAGGGACTACTTCCTGACGGTGGAGGCTCGTGACGGTGGCACGCCGCCACTGAGCGCCATCACTACAGTCAACATAAACCTGACAGACGTCAACGACAACGCGCCCATGTTCAGCCGAGACCTCTACAGTGCCGTGGTGTCAGAGGACGCCACCATTGGAGAGTCTGTAGTCCAGGTAAGTCCAGATTCAGGACCGGGCTTTCCCTGCATCATTTTTTTAATTTTTTATTTGCTTTCCATCAATAGAAATACAACAGCATTCACTTATAAAACAATCAAATGTGATTATTCAGTTTGTTAATATTTTCTTCTAGATTCTAAAATAAAGTTTCAGTTTGAAACAGGTGTAACATCATTTTTCTTGAGATAAAATAATTTAAATCATAAAAATATAATATGTTTTTACTTTAAGAAAGATAATGTTATAACAACAGTCAGTGACCTGCTGTTTAAATAAATAATAAATAATAATAAATAGTAATGTCTTTCATTATATTCTGGAGATCAGTTTGTTTACCTGATTCTTAGTCATTACCAGTCAGCAGATCTACAACCTGCTCTCCATGTAACGAGGGTGTGTTCAGGCTGATTACTGTTACTGATTGTTGTGTTAATCCATCAGGTCCGGGAGTATACTGTGGCCTGAACACACACACTGTTTGTGTTTGGGTCGGTACAGTTTGGTAAAAGGTTCATATTAGGTCAATTATTAATAAATTAACAACTAATGATCTGTGGATGAAAACTGTTGTTGTTTTATTTATGAAGAACAGAAGAGGAACAAATGGTCAGAATGAAAAATTTAAACATTCACTCACTGTGTGTGTGTGTGTGTGTGTGTGTGTGTGTGTGTGTGTGTGTGTGTGTGTGTGTGTGTGTGTGCAGCTGGTAGCAGAGGACGTGGACAGTCAGCTGAACGGAGCCATCCTCTACTCCATCGTCAGTGGAGACCGAGACAACCAGTTCTTCATTGACCCGCTCAGTGGAATCATCAAGGTCAACAAGCAACTGGACCGTGAGACTGTGAGGACACACACACACACACACACACACACACACACACACACACACACACACGAACACAGCTTAGAAATAAGGAGTTTCAAAAGCATCAGCAGCTCAGTCACAGTCAGTTTTGATCAATGAGCAGCAGAACAGATATAAGGTCAATATTAAATATAATCTGACATGTATAGTATGTTAAAGTCCCTCCTATGTTTTAAACTGTAAAAATCATATGTAGTTTCACATGGTTTTCATCTCCTCTCACTTCCTGGTTGAGAAATCCAGATCAGGCCTGGAGCCCCGCCCACCACCTGCTGGCTCCAGGTGGACAGGTGAAAGAGCAGAGAGCATCAAGATGGTCAGAGGAGGAAACATCAGAGAGACTCAGCCACATGTTGGAGCCTCAGTCAGACCCAGACTCAGAGGAGGAGTCTGAGTAGTGTCTTAGTATCTTTTCAGGACTGTTAGCGTAGTTAGCATCTCTTATTTGTTTATGTTGTTCGTTAGCTTGTTACTGGCAGTGGCTGACACAGTGTTAGCGGTTGTGCTAATGCTAACTCTCTCTGTTATAACTGGCAGTATTAAAGTCCAGCCTCTTTGTGTTACTCAGTAGATGTTTCCCTCCTTCGCTCCTGTGTCATGTGTCTGTTGGTGTCGTTGTCATGACGTCTCCACAAAGGGATGAACAGTGTTTGCTGAGAGTGACAGACACCCACCCCCCCCCCACCCCCAAGCTGTTTTCTCCCTCTTCTTCCTCATCCTCTCCCTCTTCTTCCTCATCTTCTCTGCAGTGCTTGAAGACTTCACAAACGTTCATATTCCTATCATAAAGTATTCATGAGTGCGGTCGATGAGCCTTCTGAGCGCGCTCAGAAAGAGAGAGCAGGGGTGTGTGGGGGATCAAAGCTTCAGGCTGATGAAAGTCTGTTTGGGGTTATCACACAGAGAGCAGCAGCTTCCTGTGTGTGTGTGTGTGTGTGTGTGTGTGTGTGTGTGTGTGTGTGTGTGTGTGTGTGTGAAAGAGTGATGCTGATGTGTCTGTCCATGTGTCTATGCATTAATACTCAGGTGTGTGTGTTTCCTCCTCATTTCCAATACAAGAGTTCTCTGTTTACCCCCCCCCCACCCCGCCGCCCACTCCCCCCTGCTCAGTTACCCCCTCATCCCCCCCCGCCTCCCCCGCCCGCCGGCCCCGCCCGGCCCCCGCGCCCCCTGCTTCATGAGGCTCTGTCATCAACACTCAAAGTCGTCTCTTCACGCCGAACCCTCAGCTACCCGCTCCTCGGCCCGACCAGACAGCCCCCCCCCCCCCACCCCCCCCCCCAGGCAGTCATAGCTGTTTATTTGTCTGTTTTGCTGCTGCTTCATTAGCTCTTTATTATAAAGCAACATGGAGAAACAGAAAAGTACCCTGCAGCAGCTTCTGTGTGTGTGTGTGTGTGTGTGTGTGTTTGTCTCACGCCTCACGGCTACGTCACATAATCTAGAGATTCGGCGTCTCGTCTGTTTTTCACACATGATGCAGCTCGCGGAGAAAAGACCTGATGATGTCATAGTGACATCATACCAGCAACATCACATAAACCTGACACCTTCCATTGGAGGTGTCTCACACACCCTCATTTTACACAAAAGCACGGGGGTCCACTAATAAACTGCACTTCCTTTCATGCCTTCAGACACTTCCTGTGATGTCACTGCCCCTGTGATGTCACTGCCCCTGTGATGTCACTGCCCCATTGTTTCGTCATGGTTCATGTGTCGTCACTGTGTCTGTCCTCCAGGTTCCCAGCTACTCTCTGGCCCTCAGAGCTCTGGACAGTGGGACCCCCCCCATGTCGTCCACCGTCATGGTGAACATAGACATCTCTGACATCAACGACAACCCGCCCACCTTCTCCCCCGCCAACCTCACCACCGTCATACAGGTAAACCTGATGACTGACAGGAAGTTCACTGACAACACAGAGGGGGGGTGATCAGAGTCGTCCATAGTTTGATTAGGAGAATCAAACTATGGACAAATAAGACAGTGTAGTTATATATGGCATTGGTTTGGAGTCCCTGGGTCACATGACATGGAGACTACTGAGAAATAATACATTTTAATATACTCTTTTGTTTTGCTTTTTAATGTCATTAAAGGAGATATTGATGAGTTTTGCTATTGCTACATAGCTAACATTAGCGTTAGCGTTAGCAGCTATTTACTCAAACATTGTGAGTTCAGCATCAAGCTTCATCCCTTTATTCACCAGCAGCTGTCTCCAGACGTGGACACAAACACCAGTGTTGACTTAAAATAAAATTACCATGCTAACCAGCTAGCCACTAGCCTCCACTTTCCTCACTGTAGCTGAAGACATAGTTGCTCAGATATATTATTACCTCTTGTGTTGTAACGATGCCTGAAGCTCTGGTTAGTAAACAGCTGCTAATGCTAACGTTAGCTATGTAGTAGCTAAACAAATAGCTCCTTTAAAGCAGTATGTAAATTACTGTGATTTCACTTTGTGTATCAAATGTGTAAATAAACTTTCCTTTAAATATCATCATCACCTGAAACATCATGAAGTGACGTGAACACAGGCAGGTCTCTCTCATGGTGTCTCCTCCCCCCAGGAAAACAAACCAATCGGCACCAGCATCCTGCAGCTGTCAGTCATCGATCAGGACTCCTCCCACAACGGCCCGCCCTTCGACTTTCGCATCCTGTCAGGAAACGAAGGCGGAGAGTTCGTGCTGGAGAAGGACGGGACTCTGGTGGCCAATCAGGTGTTCAGGAGGGACCTGGCTACTGAATACGTCATCCAGATACAGGTGAGGTCAAATAGCTGTTCACCATCAGTTTTAACACACAAAGAACAACAAGTGTAATAAACTGTTCACAATGACAGTCAGTACCAGAAACAACCAGAGCTCGTTCACTGTGGTTAATGTCTATAAACCCTCTGACATGGATCCGTTGTTTCAGGTCTGAGACACGTCTCCTTAAAGCAGCTGCACAGTGAGAGGAGGATACACCCACAGTCTGTTTCACTGTAAATATTTATTACGAAGTTCAAAGATAACAGAAGTTTCAGCAGCTGAATCTTCCTGAATTACTGTTTTTAGTATAAAAATCCTTCTCATGTTTGTAGAATACAATAGAAGAGAAGAGAAGAGAATGCCTTTAGTTGTCATTTCACGGCTATTCAACAAAATTTCATGCATCTCCAGACGTTCTAAATAAAAATATAAAATGAGACAAAACAAGCCGTGTCTCATGAGACAGGTTCATTAGAAGTGTCTTTGAATGGTGGAAATAAAAAGTAAAGTTATGAAAGCTACAAAAAGAGACTAGAACACAAACATCATACTAACAAAGATAAAGTTGAATTTCTCAGCAGAAACAATTCACTGTTGCTCTGCTGTAATTGGTCTTTTAAGTAAGTTTTAAATAAAGTTTCCTGGACCTGAGGAAACCAGATGCTTGGCTGTGATCGGCCTTTAGTTAACTTCCAGATAATTTACCCCCGTACCAGTGTTAGCTGATGTTATCAGGTCCTCTCCTCCCCCTGCCCTTCTAGGTGATGGACTCGGGGAAGCCCCGCCTCTCCTCCACCTCCATGCTGACAGTCAGGGTGATTGAGGAGAGCCTTCACCGGCCTGTGGCGTTACCACTGGAGGTTCACATCATCACAATGGAGGACGAGTTTCCCGGCGGTGTGATTGGCCAGCTGCACGCCACCGACGCTGACCCGTATGACGCGCTGACCTTTGGCCACGCCCCCCCAGCCCAGCGCAGTCTCTTTAAGATCAGCCCTCGTGATGGGAAGATCATCGCCCTGGGCGGGCTGGACGCCGGCAGGTACTCCCTCAACGCCAGCGTCAGTGACGGCCGCTTCGCCGTGCCTGTGCCAGTGAGTGTGCATGTGGAGCAGGCGACGCCGGAGATGCTGCGTGAAGCGGTGACGGTGCGCTTCGAGAGCGTGGCGCCTCAGGACTTTGTGGCGCTGCACCTGAAGAGCGTGTTAAAGGTTCTGCAGCAAGCCGCGGCGTCGCAGCAGCAGGATGCTCTGCACCTGCTAAGTCTGCAGCCGGTGGGTGGGACGCAACAGCTGGACATGCTCGTTGCTGTGGAAACGGCTGGAGGCGGCTACTACAAGGCAGCCTACCTCACCCAGAAGCTGAGCGCGTCGCGGCGGCAGCTGGAGGAGGTTCTCAGGGTGTCAGCCATCTTGGATAAGAACTGTTCGGGGCTGGAGTGTCGCGGGGCGCAGTGTGAGCAGAGCATCATCCTGGACTCACACAACCTGGCCACATACAGCACGCCACGGGTCAGCTTCGTCTCGCCGCGCTTCCACCGCACCTCTCGCTGCACGTGTAACGGTGAGTCATAGAGTCTCATTCAGATCATACAGACAGATGGGGTTGTGTTTACATAAGGACTGTAGTCTGTATGTCTCCATGGCAACAGTCAGAGCAGCAGCCATTTTGTTTTCAGGTTGACCGTCTCAGGTTTTGTTAACGTTTCTGGTTTTTAAGCCGCCTCTGATGAACACCATTTCCCATAAGCCCCAGACCTTTGCAAGTTAAAGGTCACAGTTTGACAGAAGAGGAGTGGTGAGAAGGAGGCGTTAGCATGTTAGCACGTTAGCTTGGATGTGTCTGTACAGATCGGATTGGTGTAGACAGTTCTACACAGCAGAGATCACAACTGGAAAATCACATTACATTTCACTGGTACGTTAAACCTGTATATGAGCGGGGCTTGGTGACTGCTTCGTTGTGACATCACAAAGTTCCAGAAGTCCTGACGGCTGGTTTTAAGGCTCAGTTTCTGAATACAGGCTGTGTGCATTTCTCTGTGGACTGAGGCTTTGATACTTTCACAGTATTAATATAGAAGCTAGACCTGATCTATAATCACACTACACATGGACTGAGTGACTCAGCTCTGATGTGTGTTCCCTAATACAAGCTAATTTAATGCAAAGCTTCATTTCTGCCATAGATTCACTCCACGACAACAAAAAGCCACAACACGGTAGCAGTAATTATTGTGTGTGTGTGTGTGTGTGTGTGTGTGTGTGTGTGTGTGTGTGTGTGTGTGTGTCACCACAGGGCAGGAGTGGGTGTAAAGCTCCTCTGCTTATGATCCATTTCATGCACAAACTAAACCATGAGCTGCATTTGACACCAAGTACTGAAGAGAATGAATCATGACAGATTTGATTATATTGACACTGTCATAACAGTATGTTACAGTATACTACAGTGTATCACAGGATACTACAGTATATTACAGTATAGTACTGTATATTACTGTATATTACAGTATATTACTGTATATTACTGTATATTACTGTATATTACAGTATATTACAGTATATTACAGTATATTACTGTATATTACAGTATAGTACTGTATATTACAGTGTATTACAGTGTATTACAGTGTATTACAGTGTATTACTGTATATTACTGTATATTACAGTGTATTACAGTGTATTACAGTGTATTACAGTGTATTACTGTATATTACAGTATAATACTGTATATTACCGTATAGTACTGTATATTA